ATGGCAGACTGGTACAAAAGGTGAAGTCGTAAGGTAAAGGTGAGCTGGCAAGATGGATACAGAACTGGCTTATTCATAGGAGAGTGTGTGTAGTGGTAAAAGGATTTTTTTTTTTTTTGGAATGGAGAGTTGTGATTAGTGATGTTCTACAGGGATCAGTGCTGGGACTCTGCAGTTCGTGGTCTACATAAATGATTTGGGAAAAAAAGCATGGCTGATCTAATTAATAGGTTTGCAGATGATACAAAGTTTGGTGGAGTTGCAGATAGTTTGTTAGAGCATACAGCAGAATATAGATCAGTTGGAGGAATGGGCAGAAAGAAAGGCAGATGGAGTTTAATCTGGACAAATGTGAGGTGATGCATTTTGGAAGGTCAAGTGCAGGTGAAAATTATACAGTGAATGGCAGAACTTTTGGGAGTAATGAGGCATACCTCCTTTCATTGGAAGGGGCATTGAGTACAAAGATAGACAAGTTACGCTGCAGCTTTGTAGAACTTTAATTAGGCCATGCTTGGAATAGTGTGTACAGTTCTGGTCACCCCACTACCAGAAGGATGTGGAAGCTTTGGAGAGGGTACAGAAAAGGTTTACCAGGATGTTGCCTGGTCTGGGGGATTTTAGCTGTGAAGAAAGGTTGTATAGACGAGTTGTTTTCACAGAAATGCAGGAGGTGGAGGGGCGATCTGAAGAAGTTGTTTATAAGATTGTGGAGGTTTTTTCCCCAGGGTGGAGGGGCCAATTACTAGGGAACACAGGTTCAAGGTGCGGGAAGGGAAGTTTAAAAGAGATGTGTGAAAAGCTTGCCTTGCACAAAGGATAGTGAGTGCCTGGAACATGCTGCCAGAGGAGGTGGTGGAAGCAGGCACAATAGCAGCAATCAAGAAGCACCTGGATGAATACATGAATAGGAAGGGAATAGAGGGATGCAGACCCTGAAAGGTGAAGATAGTTTTAGTCTGGAAGGGCAAAATGTTTCGGCGCAGGCTTGGAGGGCTCAAAGGCCTGTTCCTGTGCTGTATTCTTTCCTCTTTGCAGGAAGATGATTAATAAGCCATTTCTGTTTGCAAAATACTAAACTTAAATATTCTGCGCTCTAATTGGTTTTTCTCCATGTTACTCCAGAAACTTATCTTGAGTACATTTCAGGAATTCTTCATGGTATTATTGCTCAATGGATTTAGATTCCATGTGTAGAGTCAAGTCACCTATCAGTATTGCATTTCCCTTATGAAGGCACCTTTAATTTCTCGTTTTTATACTATGGCCACGTTATCACTTTCAGTAATGATCTGTCCAATAATTGTTGCTCCATGCTGTTTCTTAGCTCTGTCCAAACAGATTTTGTATCCAGTTCAGCCGATTGGCTAATGTATTTATTCCATTATTGTTACTATTTTTCCATTTTTGCCTGTCCTTCCTAAATGTCAGTTTCTTTTTCAGTTCCTAGTCTTGGTCATTTTGCAGCTACATCTCAGTAATGATAATTAACACTCTTACTTTCATTTATGCTATCAATTCATCTACCTTATCCGAATGCTGCACGACTTGGATAGATTGCCTTTAATTCTTGCCTTGTTAACACTGTTTTGTAACTTGACCCTGGTCGATTCTAGGATTTGTTTCTGCCATGTCTGCAATGTGTTTTGGCCTAGACTCGTGTTAGGTGATGAGCTGTCAACAGACAAGGACTCTGATTGATTAGCACAAAAAAGCAGTCCTGTATACTAACTCAGTTCGCGTATTAAGCAGAAGTGAGGCTCATTCAGCTAATGCACTGGTCTTGTTTAGCTTGTAGATGAACTGCTGTATATGGAACTAAGCTTTGAACCAGTTTAAATTCATAATTTGTGGTGAATTGCCTTTGTTCACCTTGGAAAATGGTAAGGTTGCTGCAGTTCTCTTTTATTTCTTCAAATAAAACCAGTTCTTTCCTCTGATCATTGAGATGTGTTTGGATGCAGAGCAAGGACAGTTGTTTCCTTCAGTTGAATACCCTATTAATACTCTATGAAGGTGGCGTTAGAAGGATTGAATAAATAATTTGCATCAGTCTTCATGATAGTGGTAGCATTCTAAAAGTACTAATATGGGGCAAAAGATGTGGAAGAAATGAACACAATAACTACAGCTAGAGCAAAGGTACTAGGGAAACTAATGGATCCGAAGGCTGATAAGTTCCTGGATCTGATGGAATACATTCTAGGATATTAAAAGAAGTAGCTACAAAATGCTTTTGAAAAGATATCGCTCATCAGGCTTTTTTAAGATAAGAACCTTTGGCCTTGCAGAAGCATATAAGCATGGGTTAAAGATTGCTAACAATTGAAGACTGTTGGGATAATGGGGAAGTTTTCAGGATGGCAGTGTGTAATTAATGGAGTGCCAGAGGGATCAGTCCTCGGGCACAAATTCTTGACAATACATAATAAAGTTGCTGTAGTCACAGAAGATCACAGGGCTGATCTCTCATTTAGAGTGAGAGACAACTAGTGTTTCGTGATAGTGATGCCAGAATCAATTCCTGCACTGGCTGAAGTTACCATGAAGGACTCTCCATCTCAAACTCTTCCCATTCCCTGAGGCATGGTGACCCTCTGGTTAAATCGTTACCAGTTGCGTCTCTAAGTGTCTAATAGGATCATGACCAGTTTACGATACATACTAATAACTTGGATGGTGGAAGCAAATGTCCAATCACCATGTTTGTAGGTGACAAAATGGTGAGAAGGCATGTGAGGATGATGGATCAGCAGAGAGACAGGATAAGTGAGTGGACGAAACCTTGGCTAATGCAATATACTATAGGAAAGTGTGAGATTATACACTTTAGTGGGAGTTGGAAAAGAGGCCCTGAAATTATAAAAATTGAGAAAGCTGCAGCAGATGGTGTTTAATTTTGTTTTGGAGTGGAGCTTGAATCTGAAGCTAGCTTACAAGTTCAGGTAATAGGAAAAGCAAATAGAATGTTAGCCTTTATTTCAAAGGGAATGAATTATAAAAACCGGGAGTTCTTGCTCTTGTCAAACAACAGCTGCGATAGCTCTTTACAGTTTTGGACTCCTTATCAATGGAAAGATGTACTGGCATTGGAGGCAGTCCAGAGAAGGTTCACGAGGTTGATCTTGGGTGTGGAAGGGCTGTTTATTTTTGCCAGGAAGTTGAGTATTAATGGGAATTCAGAAGAATAAAGGGTGTTAATATTGAAACATACAGATTTCTTAGGGGGCTCGACAGGGTAGATGCAGATGGGTTTTTTCCACCTGAGGTAGAGTCTGAAACCAGAGAATGTAATAAGAGTCTGCCAATTTATAGAGTCCCTACACTGTTGGAACAGGCCATTAGGCCCAACAAATCCACACTGACCGTCTGAACAGCATCACGTACAGGCCCATCCCCTTATCCCAGCACATCTAACCTACACATCCCCGGACACTACGGGGTAATTTAGCAAAGCCAGTCCACCTAGCTTGCACGTCTTTGGCCTGTGGGAGGAAACCCACACAGACACAGGGAGAATGTGCAAACTCCACTCGGACAGTCAGCCAGGTGTGGAATCAAACCCGGGTCCCAGGCGCTGAGAGGCAGCAGTACTAACCACTGAGCCACCATGCTGCCCACGGCATTCTTTACCAAAGCTGTAGAGGTTAAATATATTGAAGGCTGAGATTTCTAATTAGCTAAGGGAGTCAAGGGGTTTGGGGGTAAGGTGGGAAAGATGAGGTGTGGGTTATTGGATCAGCAATGATGTAATTGAATGGCAGAGCAGATTCTGAGCCAAATGACCACCTACGTATCATGTGAAGACCTTCACTAAACCTTTTGTTCTGCAATTAGTTTTATATTGCTGGGGGCAGGCTGTTCGTGTTTTTTTTCCAGCTGATGCAAAACCATTTTGCAGTGGGCAGGATTCAGCCAAGCATTGCATTCATTGTCTGAGATTTTATAACCTGTAGGGTTTAGATAAATTTCTCTAAAATTGGCATTAAATTACTTTAACTTTTGGGATTGTGCATCTGTCAGTTTATAAAACAGCAGAAGCAATAGCATCCACTCAAAGATTTTTAGCTCTGTCTTGTTGTTCCTGAGGCTTTTGCAGCATGCCTGTTTGTTTGACCTGGATACTGACAAAAAAAAAGTGGCTGTAGCTCATGACTATCTGGAGTCTTGTAGGGAAACTGCCCTTGATAAGTTAACTGGGAAGTGGTCAACAAAGATGCTGTCCAACTGTTTTCAAATCAGCCTGTTCAGAGATATTATTACTTGAACCTGGCCTTCCTGGTTCAAAAGTAGGCAAACTACCACTGCACCTCGGTCCTTGAAGTCTATAAAAAGAACAAACTGAGCAGCTAGATTATGTTGGCACTGAAGAAATTTGTATTGTATTTATATCAGCATATAAAATAATATGCTACAGTACATATTCATATATTAAAAAATTAACGAACTTCAAAATTGTGAATAGTTTAACCCCCATGGGGTAATCAGTATTTTGCTCTGTAGTTTTTTTTACAAAGGGTTAAGTGAAAACCAATTTGAGACTGAAATGCTCTGATCTTTTTCCATCTTAAACCAACTTTGTGAAGGTTTACTATGCATTTTTTTTTGTTAATTGGAGAATATGAAACTTGGTCATGTTCAACTTTGCTTTGTCCTTAATGGTAACAATGCAACAATTCAACAGCCAGCATGCAATCTGGCTTTTACTTACCCGTCTTCCATTCTATTCACCTCCCCAGTCTTTCCCACGTTTCCTCCATTTTTCTACTGTATATGTTGTCATGTAGTAGAGCCTGTTTGCAAGCCAGGCCCCTGTTTATCTTACCAGGGAGCTTGCATGCTGTTTGGGAAAGTATAGCTCGTAGTGAGAGTCACTAATGTAACTGAAATAAGTTGGAGTGATCGCTGAGAATTTGTCAGGTTAGATTATAAATTAAACATTGATTAACATACTTTACCCTTACATGCTATGCTAAAAAGGATTGTCTGTTTTTAAACAGGCCACAATATTTACTCAAACATACTAGGCTTTCTGGGTGGTGTGTCATGGGCCATGTTGGTGGCAAGAACATGTCAGCTGTACCCCAATGCTGTTGCATCCACTCTAGTACACAAGTTCTTTTTGGTATTTTCAAAATGGTGAGTATTGCTTTCTATGAATCTTATTTGTAGTATGGTTTAGCAATGTAAATTAATGCCCATTACATTTAACTTCTGCTCAGGCCTGTGTGGTTGCCCACAGGCTTCAGTCTCCAGGTTGTATACTCATTATTTTTAAATTGCCTGATCAATTGGTTAAAAATAATAAAAATACCTGTGGCAATTGTTTTCTCTAATGGGGAATCTAGAGAAAGGGACATCTTAAAATTTAGAGCTATGCAGTTCAGGTGTGAAATCAAACATTTCAAAGTATAAAGTTTCCCACCATCTTCTGCCCCTCATTTCCCTAAAACCTTTCCATAAACCATCCTTAAAATGACTATACACACTGGTTCCATCATTGCTTACCTGTACACGACAAAAATGTAATCACGCAGAACTAAGGCTGGTAAACAAAGTTGAGAAACAAGACGAGTGAAATCCTTTTCTTTCTAATAATAAAGGATTCTCGGCTTTTCAGATTTTTCCTGGTGACTGTCTTTATACTGATATAATTCTAGTAAACTTTTGTGCCTTCTCCATTTCCTCCATATCCTTCTAATATCATGAAGACCACGATGTTCCGAATGTTTTAGCATAACGTCTCTGCTTTTCTTTCCTTACTCACTAGAAAAGTACTCCATTTTTACACCTGCATTCCCCATTCTTCTGTCCAATTTATCATTTATTTCCAAGGAAAATGTGGCCTTCTTGTTTTTGTGGGTTAAACACGTGGAAAGTGATATTTTGTGTTGAAGTTTATTTACCAGTTTTGTTGGACAGACCAAGGAGCAGATAATGTCAGCCTAGAAAATCAATAGGTACTAAAGGGGACAATTAATGGCTAACAATGAGTTGAGTGTGGTAGTAGTCCATGTGCTGACAAGACCTGGTGTGTGGGGGTTTGGATAAGAACATGAGAGAAGCTGCCAAAAACACTAAAATTGTTGAACTTGATATTGAGTCCAGAAGACTGTGGAGTTCCCAAGCGGCAAATAAGGTGCTGTTCTTCCAGCTTGTGCTGAACTTCGCTCGAGCAGTGCAGCAAACCTGAGATGTTGGTCAGGGAACAAGGCGGTGTGTTGAAGTGGCAGGCAACTGAAAGCTCAGGGTCTTTTCTGCACTCTAATGTGAGTGTTCTGCAAATTTCATGCTTCATTTCCCCAATATAGAGGAGAACACATTGTGAGCAGCAAATTGAGTGAAGTGCAGGTAAATTGCTGCTTCACCTGGAAGGTGTTTGGGCATTTGGATACTGAGGAGGAAGGAATTAAATGGGCAGGTGTTGCACCTTCTACGATTGCAGGGGAAAGTGCCATGGCACCTTTTGGGGTCTTGGTGGGGTGGAAATGTTGGAAGTGAAGGAGGGGTTGACCAGAATGTCCTGGATGGTCCTTGTGGATGGCTGGCAAGGGAAAGGAGGAGAATGTGTCAGGTGGTGGAAGTGGCAGATTATGAACCTCGATGTGGATGTTGGTGGGGTATAGGTGAGGACTCTAAATTATTAAGCAATTTATACAAGTTAATCTGTAATATTCAAATTAATAATTTAAAGTAGATTTGAAATGTGCAGCATTGTTTGCTGGTTGTGAAGTAGGCAAAGAAGTAAACCAAAAGCAAAACAAGTTCACCTGAGTTAGGTTTCAGGGTAGCTTCTGCATTGCATCTGTCTTATAAAACAGCAAAACAGACCATCAACTGGACCAGCCTTCAGAACTGCTTAAGTTGGGAAAATAATTGTTTGTGAATTTTCATTAATACTGCTACTGGAAACCTTTTCAAGGGCAACTAGGGATGGGCAAGAAATGCTTTTGCCATGTGTTTAACGGGATTCTGAAATATCAATACTGTTATTTTCTCTTGACAGGGAATGGCCTAATCCTGTCTTATTAAAGCAACCAGAGGACTGCAATCTGAATCTACCAGTATGGGATCCACGGGTATGTTTATAGTGAATTAGGAGCTTGGAACGCAGCAGTGTTAATTGATGTTCTTTTGAGGTAGATTCTTTCTGAATCTTTTATTCTTGAGTTGTGAGTTCCACTGCTGTTGTCCATACTAATTGCTTAGAGGGTAGTTAGGAGTCAGCCACATTACTGAAAGTTTGAAGTGGCATGTAGACCTGACTAGGTAAGGAAGGCTTATTTCCCTCGCTAAAGGATATTAGTATACTGACTTTTCTGCTCACTAACTGTAGCCTCTTCATAAAATGTCATTCTGGCAAAGTTACTTTGATTTCCAACATCGAATGTGCAAAAGCTGAGGGGATTGATGGACTAATTTATTTTTGCATATGTGGTACCAAATGCTTTGCAATACCAGTTTTACTTAAGTAAAATAAATCTGCCTCAGCTATTAACTCTTCAGTTTGTTTTTGCGTGTTTAGTTCTTGTAACAATTGAAGTGCAGCATCAATGCTTTGCTTTTGAGGGGAAAATTAATATGTAATACAGGAGCACGAAATAGGATGTAATGATTTTTAAGGTAGGAAGAAGCTCGTGGGGCATAAACCTGTAGGGTCAAATTGCCTGTCTGTTTTGTAATTCTGTCAAAAGCATACAAGCATGTATCATATCATTATCTGGGAGATTTTTTGAAAATAATTATCCAAAATTAGAAATTCCTTCAGAGATTTAACAAAGTAATATTTTGTTGACTCTTAATTTTGATGAATTGTACATTTAGCTGTAACAACTGTTATTATCTTGTGTATAGGTTAACCCAAGTGACAGATACCATCTCATGCCAATAATCACACCAGCCTATCCACAACAAAATTCTACATACAATGTCTCTGCATCTACACGTGCAGTGATGATGGAGGAGTTTAAGCAAGGTGAGTAATCTTCTATAACTAAAAACAATGCCGGTAATATCGGCAGCATCTGTGGAGAATGTCATTGTATTGATTTCTCAGTCAATAATGTTTCATCAGTAATCTTATGGCTTGTTTTGGAAGCTACTGTACTGTATTAAACATTTCCTAAGACTCCAGTCATGCCTTTCAGTCCTTCTAATATTACATGTAAGTAGAGGTAAGGAATCCACTTTGTTTCCTCACAGGTCTTTCGATCACAGATGAAATTTTAATGGGTAAAATGGAGTGGTCCAAACTCTTTGAAGCTCCAAACTTCTTTCAGAAGTACAAGTATGTATTCAATTACTTATGAGTGGGGCAAAGATTGAGAGGGTTAGCTTGTGTTTCACTTGCAGTTCCCATACCTGGAGGCAACTTCTCTTGCTCTGCTCCCAAGAAAAAAAAGAAGTAACTCGCACAAATATTCTTATTTGATTGCAACCCAGCACTGAGCATCTAAGTTGCTACATCTCAGCCTGAATAGCACATTTCCAACTAGATAGTGATTGATCTACAGTAATTAACTGACTAACTGGAACGTGGGCATTGTAGTGTGATCTGATGCAAATGTGATAGACTATTTAGATCGTAAATTTGCTTAATATAAATATTAATGTGAATTAATTTGGTATTATGAAATGCCTTTTTACTTCCTATTTCCTTAAAATATTTTTCTGAAACCTATGGCTAGTATTAAGGTGGGTTTCTTGAAAAAGAATGTTGTTGTATTCTAAATGAGATTCTTGATGTTGAGGATCTGACATGCTAATCTTCAAAATTTTGGCATATCCTTATGGTAGACCAAGAGTAATATGATTGAACTGTCATAACTTTGTATCCATTTTCCAAATAAAACATTTTTTCTTAGCAAAATGGTGAAATGTTTGTCTGTCTGTTCATAGTATCCTTGACAAAGTCAGTAAATAAAATATTTGAAATGTGAGGAATTTGTAAAAGTGGAAACTTTGGTAAAATGAACTAGAGCTTTGGGTATATGAACTTTAACTTGTTTCCCAAACCTTAATGAATCAGTGGGTAACTGTTATGCTTTGTTACAAAGGCTGTTTGATCATGTTGAAGTGCTAATTTAATTGTATCATCCTACTATTCTTGGGACATCTTCCCTGCAGGTCAGGAGAGGCTGGGGGGGTGGGAAGTAAATCAGCTAAGGTCACAAACGAGATCAGTGTCTAATAATCATCCAGTGGAAATGCATGTGTTTTGATTTAGTGAAGACAGCATCTAGTTTCTGTTTCTGTGGTTCAGATGAATGGAAAAATGTGGAAAATGTTAACGGAGGCAGGGATCTGTAGAGGTTGCTAAACTTTCCAAAATATGTAATAGCACAGAGTATGGAAAGGGTCAAGAATTTGCTGCACCTGATGTTAGATAAGGGGGCAGTCAGTGCAGGACTGAGGGTGTTGTGCTTAAATGCACACAGTATGCAAAATGGTAAATGAGCTTGTGCATATTAACATTGGCAGGTACAATGTTGTGGGTATCACAGATGTGGCCAGAGCTGGGAACTGAATATCCAAGGATACACATCCTATTGAAAGGATGGGCAGAAGGCCAGGGTTGCCATGTTAGTAAGAAATGGAATTAAATTGATAGCAAGTGATAGAGTCAAAAGTGTAGCATCTGTGTGGGTGGAGTTGAGGAACTGCAAAGGACAAAAGACCCTGATGGAAGTTGTGTACAGGCTTCCTAGTCAGGATGTGGCAAAGAAAGCTTATCAGGAGATACAAAAGAAAGGTACTATTACAATAATCATGGGAGACCTCAGTATGCAGGTGGTCTGGTGGTGGATCTCAAGAAATGAATTCATGAAATGTTTGCAAGATGGACTTTTTTGTTTGAAGCAGCCAATGGTAGAGCCCACTAGGGAGCAGGCAGTTCTGGATTTAGTGATGTGTAATGAGGCAAAATTGATTAGGGAGCTGAAGGTGAAGGAACACCAAGGAGGCAGCGACTATAATATGATAGAATTCACCCTGTAATTTGAGAGAGAGAAGATTGAATCAGATGTAACAGTATTACAATTGAGTAAACTGTAATACTGGTCGCAGTTAATTGGAAGGGGAGCCTCACAGTAAAGACGGAGCAGCAAGTGGCAGGGGTTTCTGAGGGTAATTTGGGAGGCGCAGCGGAAGTTTGTCCCAAGGAAGAAGCAGCATGCCAAGGGGAGGATGAGGCAACCATGGCTGACAAGGGAAGTCAGGGACAGCATAAAAGCAAAATAAAAAGCATACAATGTGGTGATGATTAATGGGAAGCCTTTAAAATCCAGCAGGGGAAAATAAAAAAAATGGAAGATGGGAGAGATGAAATAAGTAAGCAAGCTAGCTAGTAAAATAGAAGTAGATTGCATGAGGTTTTTTAAGCTATATAAAAGGTAAGAGAGAAGAAAGAGTGGACACTGGACTGCTGGAAAATTAGTCTACAGAAGTAGTAATAGGGAACAAAGAAGTGGCAGAAGAACTGAATATGTACTTTTGCATCAGTTTCCACAGTAGAGGACACCAGCAACATACTTGAAATTCAGGAGAGTCGGGGGCAGAAGCGAATGTAGTGGCCATTGCTAAAGAGAAGGTGTTAGAGAAGCTGAAAGGTCTGAAAGTGGATAAGTCACCCAGTCCAGTTGGGCTACACCCCAGGGTTCTGAAGGAGATAGCTGAGGAGATTGCAGAGGCATTGGTAGTGGTATTTCAGAAAACACTGGAGCCAGGTCCCAAAGGATTAGAAAATGGCTAATGTAACATCCCTGTTTAAGAATGGAGGGAGGCAGAAGACAGGAAACTATAGGCCAGTTAGCCTGACCTCAATCGTTGGTGAGATTTTAGAGCACATTAATAAAGATGAGTGCTTGGAAGTGCGTGGTAAAATAGGGGCAGTGTAAGCATGGCTTCGTCAAGGGGAAACTGTGTGCCTGACAAGTGTTAGAATTCTTTTGAGGAGGTAATGAGCAAGTTAAACAAATGAGAGCCAGTGGACATGATCTGTTTGGGTTTCCAGAAGGCTTTTGACAATGTGATGCAAAGGAGGCAGCTAAATAAGATAAAAGGCTTTGACGATAGGTGTGGTGGATGAAAGGTTGGCTGACTGGCACAAGGCTGTGAGGAATAAAGGAGTCTTTTTCGGGATGGCAGCCAATGACTAGTGGAGTTCTGCAGGGATCGGTATTGGGACTACAACTGTTGACATTACACATTAATGGATCTGGACGAAGGAACTGGAGGCATTGTTGCTAAGTTTGCAGCTGACAGAAGCTGGAGGGGCAGGTAGTGTTGAAGAAGTGGGGAGGCTGCAGAAGGACTTGGACAAACTAGGCAAGTGGGCAAAGAAGTGGCAGATAGAATACAGTATGGAAAAATGAGGTTAGGTTCCTTTCCCACAGTAGGAAGAATATTTTCTAACTGTAGTTCAAGATTCTCTTATGGTTAACATGCAGGTTCATTTGTCGGTTAGGAAGATAAATGCAATGTTGGTAATCATTTCAAGAGGACTCAAACAAAAGCAGAGTTGTAATGCTGAGACTGTATAACGCTCTGGTCAGGCTGCATTTGGAATATTTGTGAGCAGTTTTGGGCCATGTACATGAGGATGGGTGTGCTGGCATTGGAGGGGGTCTAGAGGAGCTTCACAGCAATAATCTTGGTGATTGGGGAGGGTGGATGGATCTGATTGAAATGTGGAGAATGCTGAGAGGCCTGGATAGAGTGGACGTGAAGATGATGTAGGAAAGACAAGGAGCTGAAGATACAGCCTCAGTGAAGGCAGGACCCTGTAGAACTGTGGTGAGGAGGAATTTCTTCAGCCAGAGAGTGGTAAACCTATGGAACTCATGGCTGCAGAGGCGTGTGGAGGCGAAGTCATTCAGCCTCTTTAAACAGAGGTCCTTGATTAGTACAGGGAGCAGGGGTTACGGAGAGAAGACAGGAGAATGGAAGTGAGAAACTTATGTCGTGATTAAATGGTGAAGCAGACTTGGGCCAAATGGCATTCTGCTCCTCTGTTTTGTGGTCTCAGCGTTGAATGTTATGACCTTTTGAAGTGCTCACTCATGTGCTTTAAAAGTTTTATGAAGTTTCCTGTTTCTGCTACCTTTTGGCCATACATTCCAAACCCCCAACACTAAGTGAAAACATTTTTCCATAAATCTCTTGTAAACCACCTACCCTTCACCTTATTCCTATTACTGACCCTTCAGCTGAAGGGAACAGCTACTTCCTTATCACTGTGTCCATACCCCTCATAATCATCTTTACCTCAGTCAGGTTTATTTTTCATTATTCATTCACAGGATGAGGGCATCGCTGGCTAGGCAGCATTTATTGCCCATCCCTAATTGTCCAGAGGGCAGATAAGAGTCAACCACATTGCTGTGGGTCTGGAGTTACATGTAGGCCAGACCAGCTAAGGATGGCAGTTTCCTTCCCTAAAGGATGTTAGTGAACCAAATGGTTCTCCCCTCAGCCTTCACTGCTCTAGAGAAAACACCATAGCCTACCCAGCCTCTCTCCGTTGATTAAATGTTCCACCCCAGGCAATATCCTGGTGAATCTCCTATGTATTCTCTCCAGTTCAGTCACATCCTTCCTATAGGGTACAGACCAGAGCTGTGCACAGTACTCCAGCTCTGACCTAACCAAAGTCCTGTACAGCTCCACCACAACCTCCCTGCTCTTGTTATCTGTGCCTCGACTGATAAAGGCAAGTGTCCTGGATGCTGCTTTTAACTGCATAATTAGCCTATCTTGCTGCCTTCGGAGATCTGTGAACAAGCATTCCAAGATTCCTCTGCTCTGAATAGCAAGACAGCTCACGGGAAGTTTCTAATTTTTGAAACTCTTGACAGTATAACAAAAGATGAGCTTGTAAAATATTTTGTGACCACTTCCTGGAGCAATATGATGTGGAATTGACTAAAAGTAATGTTATCTTGGGTCTATTTATTATAAGTGTAGAAGTAATAGATCTGCTGGATTGACAAAGTGGTGATTGTCATAACCTTGTTAAATTTGAAAGTGATGGGTTTCAATCACACAAGTATCTTAAACCTAAAGACAGCTGATTATATAGGTGTGAAGGGATAACTAGGTAAATAGATCAAAGGATATAATAGTTAATAGCATTTAAAGGAACAGTTCAAAATGTGTAATACAGATTCTTTCCATTGGGAAAACAAAATCAAAGTTAGGAATAGAATTAGACTTCTTTTAAAAAAAGAAAAAAAAAGGACTTTTAATAGTACAAAGAATACTAACAAGTCTTAGAATTTGGGGCTGTTG